AATTTTAAAAAGTAATGAACAGGAAGAAAAAAAAAACTGCAAACACATTCACTCTGTTCTACTGTTCCTTCCTCTCAGATTGACCAGCAAACCTTTTAAGTACAACCCTTGCACTGCTTTATCATATTTACACGTAACAACAAGTGACAAAGCCTGGAATGCTGGGAATCGTTACAAAAGAGACAACTGCAGATACACGTATCAGGAGGAACATAGGCCACTGGTAGAAATAGGGTCCATTAATGTACATAAGGAAGCACCTAGTTGCTAACAACAGAGTGGTAACAACTGCCAACCGCTTCATATAAACCTTTTGCCCAAAGACAGAAATATGGCACAGTAAGAAAGTTTCATTTAAACTAGCTAAACGGAATCTCTTACAATGAGGAGCTTTTTTTTCCTTTCTTCTTTCTTGAGATATCACATGATAGCTTGCAGCAGATTTCTGGGCCACACTCAGGAAACGTCTGGTGAAGAAAAAATACAGAAAACAGACGTTTTACTTTGAAACTTCAAAAAGACAGAGTTCAAACCAAGACTCCCTGATTATTCCCCGCCAGACACAAAGGTGGTTTTGATGAAATGACTCACAGCTCGCAGGTTGCTCCCCGAATCTCCGCATCAACTGATCATGTGTGAACTTCACAAAGGTGTCATATTGTTCTGAAATGTACATGAAGGGATGTAAGAATTCCTATTGTGCAACAGGTTGTGAAGTCCTACGTACATTATTGAACTTATTCTTCGGTGTTATAATCTTCCAATTGACTTGGTCCCAACTATGGTTCGGATCAGAATCAAACTTAGCATTTACAACGGTGATCCTACTTTCAATGTCTTTTAGATACCTAAAATAGTGATGCAGCAATAAGTGCATTAATTAATTAAAAGAAAATTATCCATCACAATGAGCTATATCCAGCTTTTAAAAATAAGATACCCGTAGGATTGTGCTCCGAGTCGTAACAAGGTACTGGATGTGCACCAACCTGCCAGCTTGGAAGTCATGGTCTCCTCGTACTCCTCTCGCACAGTCTCCTCCTTTTCGCTCAGCAGCCGTTCGCAGATCATTCCGACTTGTCTGAGGGTGAATAGCGGCTGTTCTTTTCTAGTAGGGGAAACACCTCCAGAGGACGTTCCTGCGCAAATCAAACAAAGAACTGGTTGCGTTGTGGCGTGCATTGTATTTGTAGTTGAGAGTATTTGTTGCCCAAACCAACCTGGCATGTTGGAAACAGTCATAGTAGACGACTGGGACGGAGACTCTGGAGAATAGCAGCCCTCGGACGGTTGGTAGCCCGAGTCTAGATGCTTCCTCTTTTGAATGCGTTTGTACTCCTGCTTGATGCTGTTGAGGATTTGTTCTAGTGGGACAAAGGAAAGTTTTCAACAACAAAAAATAGGCAGAGAGGGGGTTAGTGAAGACAAAACAGCTGACAGCTCAGCTTAACTGGTTAGTGTTTTCTGCTAGTGTGGTTCCAACGTGTTGCTAACATGCCTCTCGAAGACGGGCCAACATTACCTGCACTGAGCCTCGAGGAGGATTCTCCAAATGGAGAAGGCTCCATGCTCAGGTACTTCCTAGGGGACGAGGAGGACGACGAATGGGACACAGGGATACATCTGCGCCTTTTAGGGGACGTAGGACTCATCAGAGGATCGAAATCCATGGTCCTCTTCAGGGTGGCTCCACACGCCATGACTTCAGGGTTTTAAAAACGAGGGGGGAGGAAGGGAGGATGGGGGGGGGACAACGAAACAGAACATTAATGGAGCGATGACATCTGTTAAGTCAGATAACTGCTGATCACGGCTATTCCTCAACACGCTTTGCCGGTCATCATCTAAATTGTGCTGCCAAAAGCAGAACCCTTCGCTAAGCAGTACATGTTAGCCATACTGCGCAGCTGAGGCTTTAAAAAAAAAAATGCTAGCAAGCTAACGCTAGCCGTGCTTGCTAGCAAATAATCAAAAAGAAAACAAAGCTAACGTTAGCTTTGGCTACCACTGGTAGAACAGAACGCTCTGCTGTACATTTGAATAAAAGCGCTTCTTACCTTTAAGGGGGGAAGCTAGTCCGTCAAAGTGCAGTCAACAACTCGTGTGGCTCTAAAAGTTGCTTCCCAAAAGTTGAGGTGACGATCCGCCGGCTGCGGGCCAACTGCTGTTAGTCAGGGGTGCTAGCCGACGCTACTTAGCTGCTTGTTTTTGATATGGGGATGTCGGCTTCTCTGGCTCGTGACGTCACGTAGGAAACGCGGCGCAAGGCGTTCTGGGTCATGTAGTTAAATGGGAAATAACGAGAAAACTGAAGGTGAGTGTCGTCCCACGTCGCAGCCTACTTTGAGGCTCACGCGTCACCCCCAAAATGCATCTGTTTAATATGATTTACTTATATGTCAGCCTCCTTATGGCATCGCACCAGTAATCACTCACTACGACCAGTACATGATAAATAATATAGACACTAGGTGCATGTCGTATGACAGGTCTCCACGAGGGGTCAATCTAACACAGCGATGCAGAGATAGACCCTGTAATGTTGCCCAAGCACCTTTTGCCCTGGGGGAAAAAAGTGCCCCTTCTGCTGCAGCCAAATTTTCTCTTCGTTCATGGATATTATATCAATATATAACAATAAAAATGACTTTCTCTGTCACCAATTCCCCCCAAATGTGTTTTGATATCCGACGGGTCATTTATTTGAGTTCTTTCGCCCCATCATGCTGTGCGGCGCTCCCAAGCCCCGCCCCTCCCTCCTCCTCCTCTTGGTTGCTTGTGCAGTGCTGAGCGCCAAAGGCTGCAGAATCAGAACAGGTACACGTTGTTTGGTGTTAAATCAACCACAACAGCGCCGCGGAAAAAATAACGTCGCAACTGGTCCGAAGTTTGCTAAAAAATAAACAACTAATTAACAACACACTCCATCTTCCCCTTCACTTGTGAACTCAAGACTCCGAGGTGCTTGAACTCCTTCACTTGGTGTAAGGACACGTTCCATACCCTCAGTAGGCAATCCATCGGTTTCCTGCTGAGAACCACGGCCTCAGATTTAGAGGCTAATGTTCATCCCGACCGCTTCATGCTCGGCTACGAACCGCTCCAGTGAGAGTCGGAGGTCACAGACAGAGGATGCCATCAGGACCACATCACTTGTGAACTCAAGACTCCGAGGTGCTTGAACTCCTTCACTTGGTGTAAGGACACGTTCCATACCCGGTCATACGCCTTCTCCAGGACCACAAAACGGGATGAGCATACTCCCAGGCCCCCCGCCATGATCCTTGAACGAATGCCGCTTTGTTTCTTTTCAATTCTTGGTTCGACTATCGGCCGAAGCTTCCTTTCCAGCACCTTGGAGTAGACTTTACCCTTTGCTACGTTAGTCTCAGGCCTTCGCACATTCTAAATTGAATATATTATTTTCCTGTAGAATATTGAGGCGGTGTGTGAAGAGGTTGAAGCACTGAGAAATACTTCAATCCTGTTTTTTTCCTTCTCTGCTCCATTCAGTCCAAACACCTTCCATATGCTGCTCCTCAGCTGTAAATACTTCCAGAAATCCCCTTTCTCTTGTAACTTAAATTTTCCTTTATGGTTCTCAAATTATCTGAATACCACGTCTCCAAATATATACCCTTGACTGCACGTATCCCTTTTGCCAGCCATGTATCCCATAGAATTGTTTTTTTGCACATACAAATGACGGGATAATTCCAAAGAGAGCAGTAGTCCTGTTTGTAATGAGAGATACCGAGCATCTTGTGTGACCTCGTCCACTGAGAGTGTTGTAAAAGTTGATATCTGTGTTTTATGTGTTTTTGTGATAGTATGTCTGTAACTTATAGGCTTATAAGGTCTTTTGAACCATTATTAGTACGGCCCCTCGCCTGAGACCACTTTGCCAAGGATAATCCTACCAAGAGCACTAGATTATGTAAGTCACCCTTGATTATTATGCACCACATTGATTTATTTGCAAAATTTGCAGCATAATGCCAAGGAAGAGAGACTCCAAATGCAGAAAGACAGGTAACTGCAGCAGCGCAACTGTTACTTGTCATTTAAGTTTTTAGCTCGGTGGCGATTGCCGAAAAAAGACCGGAAGCGCAGCGAATGGCCAGTTTCAGGCAATGCGAGCTTTCGCAACCGCTTTAGGACACCTTCTGTACGTGTGGATGTCGCTACCCAACAGCCACACGTACTGGGACTATTTTCAGTAGCCTAGAGAAAATAGTCCCTGCACGTGACTATTTTCTCTAGGCTACTGAAATGCGATACACAACAAATTGTGGTTACAACTATTTTCTGCTGGAAGGCAGCTATTAACTTGCTATTTGTAGTAAGTTAACAACACCCTTGAACTGTAACATTATTGATGATAAGTACAACATCGCGTACCTTATTGTTTAGGTACAATAGTTTTGTCTGTTTTTTCTGTTATTCATTTGTTTGTTCAATTTCAGTTAGTTTGTTAACAAAATAAATATGTAAGTTGAAAATATCCTACTGTGTTTTTAATTTTATTATTATTATTTTTAATTTCATGCCTAATTTGGCGATGGGTGCCCTTTTGTTTTGGTTTGAGCATGTAACAGTTTATTTTCATCGCATGTTATCTAACTCCCCTGTCATTTCAGATCCTCCCACGTCATCCGCTCATCCAACTCGTTGATATTCTTTATTACTTTATCTATCTCAGTTTATTCATATCCACGCTTGCAAATGCTCATGATCTTATAGATTACCACTGGGATTTCTACGTTACTCTGAACCTTTTTGATTTCTGTGCTTCTGGGTGATGTAAAACAACCCATTGCTGTCTCAGAATTTGTACTCTGTTCACTGAAGTTAAATGTAATCTATTCAATAAAGGTGAATCAAATTTTAAAAATCCACAGCTATAAACACATTGTTACACTCCCTTATAATGGCAGAGAATTCATTGTTGCATTGAAAAAAGTAACATGATATGTTGACAAAATGATCATGAAAATAGACAAATTTCATATATTTATTGAACGTATGTCTCTTCTCCCTCTTGTCCCTGTTATGAGACACAACGGCACAATGGATGCCTCACATACATACCAAAGTGTGGCTCCTCACACAATGCTCTAACTGGTTCATAAGCACATGTGTTATAAGCAAGTATATTACATTCTGGAATCACGACAGACTAATGTTTTGATTTGATCAATAAGCTGCTCATATTTCAAAGTACCGTTTGCCTTTGCGAAGTAATAGTTACAAAATATGCAATAAATATTATGGTCCTCATTAATAGCTGATTTAAAATCACTAATGAGATGCTAATTTTATTTACAAGTAGTTTGCTGTAATTCAAAACTCACATGTTGCATGAAGGGAGACCCAATTATACCTTGAATTAACGCCACATGATGTAATGTGAAAAAAAGAACCAAATTGAACGTGATATTGGTCTCCCTTTAAACTCATATGCATCTTTAACTTAATGCATATTTAAACTACAGCAAATGTTACCGCAGAAAATAACTGGTTCTTATGATTACCACTATTGTTTACTGATGAAAATTAGACCCAAAAGGCTATAATCAGACTTGTGCAACGCAATAAACCATTTTAAATAAACCAACAGAATAAAGAGATAATGCACCGTCTTTAGTCTCATTGCACTCCACCATACAACTATAATAATAGATTTCAGCTTAAAAGCAACAGAAACGCGTTTTTCAGTTCTGTATCTAGGTCATTTTTTGGCACATTTCATTGTTACAAAGCAGTGCGCTAGGACGAATAGGGTTATCCTACAATAACTTCACAGCTGTACCAGAGCAAGGCAGCTTCTCTTTCAGACCGGCTCTGCAGTAGAAGTCTCAGTCATTCCAGAAACGGTAACCTGGGCTACTTTTACTCGAGCTTTTCCACCGACGACTCCATCTTTCCCCGCCCCGCCTCTCACGCTCCTGCTGTTCCAGTCGCTCTCGGCGCTGTTGTCCAGAGGCTGCGTCGCTCCCCAGCACACGTGGCAGATGTTGACGAAGGCCCTGCGCAGGTCCTTGCTCCTCATGGCGTAGATCACAGGGTTCACGGTGGAGTTGAGCAGCGTGAGCATGCTGCAAAAGGCAAACACAGTCTTGATGAAGTCATTCACCTTCCCAAAGAGGTCGTACACCATGATGGCCAGCAGCGGGCCCCAGCAGATGATAAGGGCCACGAGGATCAGAACCAGGGTTTTAGCCAGGCGGAGGTCCATCCGCGCCTGCTCGGGCCTCACCGTCTGCACTTTGGTGCCCTCCGCGGTGTAGACGATCACGCTTCTTTGGGAGCTGCGGCTCAGCATGCGGACAGCATGGTGGTGGGATTTCCAGAGGATGAACATGTAGGCGTAGATGATGAATAGGACCAAGATGCTCGTCATCCCGATCCAGAACATGAGGTACTTCTGGTCGATTAGGGGGAAAATGTCGGAGCAGACGGAGTTGAGACGCTTGCAGTTCCACCCCAGCAGCGGCAGCAGAGAGAAGACGATGGAGATGGCCCACATCACGCTGAAGGCAATGACTGCCTTGGTCTTCGTGACGATGCGTTTGTACGCCATCGGCCTGTGGATGGAGATGTAGCGGTCGATGGCGGTGAGAAACAGACTGCCTACAGAGGCGGTGAAGGAGGCGATGACCCCGGCCAGCTTGAACAGGAAAATACTGGGGCTGTCCTTCCTGTGGAGGACATGGAAATCCAGGAAGCTGTAGACGAAAATGATGCTGCCTATCAGATCGGCCACAGCCAGGCTGCCTATGAAGTGATAGGAAGGGCGAGAACGGAGCGTCCGGGAGTGCAGGATCACACACAGCACCATGAGGTTCTCCAGCACCGTGAATGTTCCCAGGGTGAGCGCCAAGATGGCGACCGCGAGCTGCTGACTGGGAGTCAAAATCATAAAACACTCCATGTTGTCCACAAAGTCCTCCCCACACTGGCTCTCCACAGACGTGCCGTTGCCGAGCAGAAAGTCTGACACGTTGGTGGGGAAAATGGGAGCGAGGCCGCTGTAAATGACCTCCTTATTCACAGGGACGAGTCCGGGGAACGAGTTACTGATTGAGGCAGAGTTGGGCTTCTCAAAGTGGAACCGGTTCTTGATCAGAGTCGAGTCGACGGAGGCGTCGTCATAGCTGGCGTCGTTGGAGCCGAGATACTGGACACCTGTTGTTAATGAACTCATGGCAGTGCCTGCTATCCTGTGCAAAGCCATCTTAATGGCTGGTTTGTGGCTGTAGAGATGCTCAGTGAAGAGGAGTGCGGTTTAACATTATCAGATCCATGCAAAAGGACATCTGGGAAGAAAGAAATACAGGTTTATATAAGGAAAACAATACTAAATCACCAAATGTATACATCTCATGACATTTAAATTAGAGCTAAATATTAAAATATTTGACCAAAAAGTAGCATTGATGGTTAATATTTTGAAAAATATATCAGTTGCTGTGGGATATTGGGGGAATATGCATATCAGCCAGCTGACACAACAGATGCATCCCAGACAATAGTGGGAAACTGAACAGTTGATGACAAACCTGTGCAGCCTCGGGGGAAATCATTGCATTAAGTATGTAGGACAGACACGCTTTCTTATTAATTAAAGCAGGTCATTAAGAATTAAGCTTATTTTCTCTCAATAATCATTGGATTAATTAGGCATCAAGGGAGACACGAGATAAACATATATCTGTCCAATGAACCATTTACATTTTAATGCCAGTAATGATGATATCAATCATCAACAGTTACGTTTGCATGAATAAGACATTAAAAGAGCAGAGATTGAAATACGTTAAAATATATTCATGTATAAAGCCAGTTTGAATTAAAGCTTTTGCGAATATATTGTGCAATAATGCAACTGACAAATAAGAACTTCCAAAATAAAAAATGAAATAGAAACCACAAATTATCGTTAAAAAACATACCTCAAATTTGTAATAAAAACCATCTTTCCACGATCCATGACGGAAAAAAGAATGAATTAAACCGGGAGTCAACCGGTCTGTTGTCTTCACTCTCTTCACCAACAGTTGCAGCAACTCCACAAATACCCGGAAGCCAGAGAGGGGAATTAAAACTGTTGTTGTTGTTTTTCCTATTCGTCCGGGGAAGTATCGTCTGCTGACAGCGTCAGAGACAGTGAAGGCAGCGGGTGGAGGGAAACTGTGAGTGTTTGTGCGAGCGGCCGCTGTTAAGGCTCCTTTTTGTGCGCCTGCTGGTCACGTGATCGGAGGTGTTCCAACGCAGCAGAAAGTGCTTCATGCACACACATGGCAGCAAATCGCTGCTGCAGGCATGACGTGCTAACCAGCCTCCACCCCCATTTGTTTCTCAGTTCATCGCCCCTTATGTGTAATTAATTAATCAACAATTACATCATCTTTTAAAATCCTGGATTGCCTTTTGACCTCGTTAAAACCCCAATAGAAATGCCCTACCTCAGGATATTCAACATTACCCAATCATAATATCCTAGTTGTTGTTTTTTACATCAAACAAGTATATATTCTGTGGGCCATGTGATGTATAGGCTATACATGATTACATACAAGCAAATGCACAATATTTAATCCTACATCATTACATTCTTGATGTTTTGGGTCAACGAGATGTCCGTTTTTATCAAATTTCTTTATTTATCAGAATATCAGACATGAATTAACATTTCTGTAAACGTGCCAGTGTTAGCCAGCTGGTTCATTCCAGATTGCAGTCCTTTGGTGAGATGTTCTAAAAAGCACGGAAGTGACTAACTAAGAAATACAGTTAAACTCCCTGTTTGATCTTTTAGAACAAAGTGTCATAGATATCCAATAACAGCAATACACATATATTTTTTTTGTATTTGAGAGTGCTACTGTCAAAATCCATCACAGATATACAGCATTTGAAAATGAAACTAGAATTAAGAATATTTTTGAGACAATAAATAAAAAAGTAGTATGTTATTTGTTCTTGTAAGATTAAAAGAAAAAAAGTGAAACATCAAAATGTGGATACAATTTGTGTACTGTATGTTTTTTGAGCTGAAAAGAAAAATGACAATGATACTCTTCCAATGTTTATTTAATTGTTTATTCAAAAAATGTTTATTCAATTTATTAATAATCAAATTGACCATCACTGCAAAACAATGAACCCTTTTCGGACAGGAGTTTACTCAGGTATTGCACTTTTTAGACGCTCGTGCTTTATTTTCTATTTAATGGTACTCAAATATATATATATATTTACGTGGCAAATAAAGTTCCTTCACACATCAATGATTTAAATACAATGAGTTTATAAATGATGATGCACTATGATACATTAAAAGTACAAGAGTCACAAATAACTTTGATGTGACCACATGAATATTCTTACATGTACTGTGATCTTGTCATAGTCGATTTTGCCATTTTAGTGCAATTATAAAGCCACAGTGCTATTAAGTCCACATTGAATTTCCTCCACCAATAATCTATTTTCTCTTTTTACAGTTGGGGGTCACATGCACACTATTGAGTCTTTTTTCCTGTCCTGCGCAGCTGGGCAATTATTTCCACTATGGACTCCCAGCAGAGCTATCTCCCAAATTACATGTATCTTGTTGTAGAAAATACATGACATTTGGCGATGCAACATTATGGGAAAACAATGAAAGACTGCACACGTGATGCCAGAGCATCCAGTTTTGGCAGAACAGAAGAGGCTGAGGAGTCATCCAAATAATTGCTGAACACTTGTTATGCAGCGTTTGAAGCAGATTTAAGCAGCTATTGATAACTTGTGGCAGAGCAGCATATCCAACATGAAGGCAGTTTACCAAGACGAAGTAGTTGAAATGTCTTGTCAATGACCGATGGAATTCCATTTTGACATGTGTAAAGCAACTGTTCTATTGCTCGTTGGCATCGTTTTTTGAGTCCTAATGGGGTTTTGGCTTGAAAGCTGCATCTGTTATCTCTCAAGGCAGGGATAGAGTATTGCAATCCATCATAATAATTATCATCAATATTTCAGTCACTCTCACCAAGGCATCAGTGAGCGAGGGAGACAAAGCTGAATGCGATGACAAAAAGCCCCAACGTGACCGTTTCAGCCATTTGTAAAAGTTCAATTTTTAAAAAACCCGTTCCCTTCATGTGGGCCGTGGCCGGTTCTGTGAGGCTGCTGCTTTTGTTTCGCGTCCCTCTGTCCTGGTGGTGAATATCGCAAGTGATTTACAGTGATTGATTTTCGGAAGAAAGCCTCACAAAGCAGCATAATGCATCTCATTTAATATTGATCCTTCTCCATTTACAGTCAGTTGTTATTTGAGCGGCGAGCCTTCATGATAAAATCATTACTTTGAGTCCACATGAATACTCCAAAATAGACAAATCCAAGCAAGAAACATGAAATGTTTGAATCAAAACATTAACATTTTTTATCCCAGTCTGTTGCACAAGACTGTCCTTATGTTGTGAGTTCTGCACACACAGCATGTTACCAAAGGAGACTCTAAAAGCAAACTTTTCTCTGATGTGTTTGTGTCGAAGGGTTGGAAGATGAGAGAAAGTGGGGAGAGAGAGACGGAGGGGGGGAGAGAGGGAGGGAGGGTGAGGAGGAAGAGATGCCCAAATAGAGAAGCAGAGGAGGCTGTGACTGAACGTTGACAGATGCCTGAACCGCCTCTTCTATATTCTGTTCCTCCCCAGCTGGAGGCACTTCATAATGTAGCCAATCTCAACTCAGAACATTTTTGCAAACAGAAAGAGAAACAGATGAAATGTTTACTAAATGTATTCAATATCGTTTGATATGTCTCTTCTTTGTATTAATTTATTCATGCATAAAGTCATCAAATGTCTGATGTACCACTTTATCAATCAGTTTATATTTATCAACTTGACTGCATAAGGCAAATTATGGGTATATGTATGTTGATGTATTATTCATAACACTTATAATGGAACAAACAACTCTATACCCTGGAATATATTCAGAGAAATAAACACGGAGAATGTTAAGTATGGAAGTTTCCCATAATGTGCACCAGATTATCAGGACAGATCTTCTTTATAGGGGAATAAAACCACAGCAGAGAGGATAAAAAACGCTTTTACTTAATACCTTCGGGTACTACATTTTGTACTGTCTGTATAAAAACACCAAAACCAACTAAAAACAAAGCACAGATCCTCAATGTTCTTTTATTTCCAATAAACAACTGCATGACCTCCGGCTGCAGAATTGGTGGATTTTCTTAGAATAGACAGACTAACAGCATAATGGTACAATCCCCTTCATGCACCATTTAATCACGTAAAGACCATTTTCAGGCTATCTCAGCGGAACACAGTGGTAATCACAAAGATTTAGCAGGTGGTTCAGTGAGCGCTCACTCGCACAACCAATATGCAAATGGACGCTACAGGCACCGGCTCCAAATCACCACCCCAGTTGAACAGTTATTCTCAGCGTTATTTCTATTCTCGGCAGTAAAACTGTTCTGTGTAGCTAAACAGTGGTACGCGATGACTGCTTCAGAGGATCAAACCCCAAACAGCGAGAGCCTGATCAGGAGTCGTTGGTTGACTCGGAGCCAGAGGATGATTCACTCGCACTACGTCCAGCTGCAGAGCTGCAGAGACTGACGACAACCCCGAATGGACCTGACTGCCATGAGACCAACAGTCACCTGTAATCACATGGCTCTTTTCCGTATTGAGGGGTTGTGATATTACATTTATTTTTAGCTGTTCACCCCCTCAATCCTATGAGACACTTGAAACACTTTGGAAATTTGTCATACTTTAACATCTGTCATTAAATATTCAGACAGGCAATAACTAATCTTTTGGCCACTTGTGAACAAGCCGTGAACACAACATTGTCATTTTATTTAGTTTGGTTTGATAGGAATGCTTGAAAATTTGCCTATTTATACAAAAGCGACATTGGTAATCACTAAACATTTCTCATCTAGCATCAATGAAACCATTAGATGAATTATGGAGATAATTACTGTATGAAAAAATAGATATGCGATACACTAATGGATGATATTTAGAGTGCTGCAGAGTGTGGTCAAGCTTTTTAGCATCACATTCAGGTATCACAGATTGAGCTTGATTTATGACTAGCACATGCTTGAAAACGGTTCATCCTCGCCACATTACTCATGCGTTCTCATTCTGCTCACACCGTCGTGGTTACTCACCCATTACTGGCAAAGGCATCGAGCAAATGATTTCACAGAGCGCTCACATCTCAGAGGAAGTTCTTTCATCACAGAGTTACTTTGTGCCTCAGCTTTTAAGCTTCATCACAAGATTAAATGACTCCATGGCACCAATAAGGTGACATTAAAGAACAAAGAGTTTAAAATCAGTTCTGTTTTTTTGTGTTTCTCGTTTGGAGCAAAATTGGCCTCTACTTTGCATTTATTCAAATTTTGTGCTTTCATTGGAGTCAGGATCATTTAAGTACAGCTTAAATGTTTATCCCAAAAATAGGCACAAATCGTGCTTCTGTTTGGGTGCATGCATGCATTTTCTCGCATTTTGCAGAGAAAGTGAGATATTTAGTCTAGTAGACTTTGTTCATCAGATGCATTTGTGGTATAAACAGTAAAGAGCACTTTGACTTCCTTAATGGATGTTGGCAAGTGTTTTGAATTTTGCACGTGAGGCATTACTGTTGTATTGACTGTTGGTAAGATGTGGGTTGTGTGTGAATATATATCGCTCCTTTTAATATTTGTCATTCTCTCTTGAACTTTCTGTTACCTGACCACTTTCATACCTAACATACCATTCCTGTTTCTGGCAAATAGATGATTTTAGATTTACTGTTCACTCAATTATGAAAACCCTGTGATCAAGTAATGTTTTATTCAAGCACGATCCTCTGAGCAATGCAGCGTTTCCATGCGAGATTGAACAAAGTCTCCGGGCTACGATGGCAATAACACACACTGTATGCCAGGACCTTCTTGATAAAAGGCTCAGGTCAAAGATGGACATTAACGATAGATGACATTTTAACTCCTGATGATGTTCAATTGCTGTGACAAGATACTTTACATTGTATTGTTCAATAAAATATGCATCCAAAGGAGGTCACAAAATGTGGCATTGCAGAAAATCATTCTAATGAGCTTTAAGCTTTGAGGTCTTTAAAACCAAATACGCTTATGTAAATGCCTACTGTGAGTAAGTGTATCTATAAATAATAATTT